GCTCATCGTTCGTCTATGGACGGTTTTATGGTGGTTTAATGATACGTCAACACGCAGTCGCCTTCTCTATGATACAGTACGCCTGCCGACTTGGCAGCTGTCATTGAAGTGAAATGCTTTGTGAAAAACTCAAAGGCATCATCGTAGGGTCCCCCACGATCTGTAAAACAACTCGTTTTGATTACCCCTCGATTACTGGTATTGTTCTGGGTTTCATTGTTCCCTTATCATCGCCTCCAGAAGATGCCGTTCGCCACGGTGTTCAGTGATAAGCCCCTTTCCCGCCTAATCGCAACATCAGCAAAGTATGCAGCGAAAAAAAAACGCAGAAACACTTGTCAGCCTCCAGCTTTTCAAACATCGCTTTACGGGCCTCGAACCTTCTGGGGATGGAATAAGCCATCTGAAGGGAGTCCCGCTATCCCGAGCTTCAGAAACTGAGGCTCTAGCTCCTCGACTGAATCTGTCCATCAAATGGGCGTTCCCATTACAGTCCCTGTACAGTGCCGCTACCGGCTAACCCGAGTAGATGCTTGAGTCAAGGTAAAATAATTCTTGGCAACTGAACTAGGCGAGCATCTAATTAGGTACCCAGACAAAACAAGAACAACTGCTTCTCAACTCCCAAGACTGTGCAGAGGATTAGATACTGATATTTACCCCTCATTGCACTGTAAACCACGATGTCACACCTATGCCAAGGTCTCGAAAAACTCTAGATATTTTCGACTACTAGATGAATAATCGCTGGTTCTCCAGAAAGACCACCTCAAGCCTTCATTGGAACGTCTATACATATTCTACTCCAATTTTATGGGTACAACCACTCCCTGCCGTATAGCAGCCTATTTACCCAAGCAAACGTACTGTTTCATCGATTGAAATCGATTGATTGGTGCCGACCTCGTCTAAACAAGGTACATTCTGTACATACGGTAGTAGCGTGAGTTAATACGACACTCAGTTTTGCTTAGGAGAAATTTTGGAATTCCCCTGAGTCACGCAAGTCACTTGAGAAATATATGTGCCTTTTGAAATTCTAATGAAAGTCAGTGACATGGCGCGTTCCCAAAAAACTTGCTCGACAAAGGCCTACGTTATTTTTTTTACTTCTAGTTTTGCCATAACGAGTATGACTACAGTAGTTCCTAGAGTGACGGTCAACTCTGTATCAGGATTGCTGGGACATTGCAATTT